AACAGTGTATGAAAAATGGACATTGTTTGTTTGAACAGCTCTCACTGTATTTTTTTCAGCACTTCAGAGCCAGGCAACTTTAAAGGTGTTTTTATTCAGAAAGATGAGGAGGTTGCTGAGTTTGTTGACAACATCCACAGACAAACAAATCATGCAAGTTTCAATATTTGTTTTTGTCTCACTGTTGTCTTGACACTATTTACTTTTAGTACAATAACATAATCATAGAGACTTGTTTTTCTTTAAAGAGTCAGTTAACAAGAACAGCAAGTGTTACCCGTGCAGGAAATTACTGATATTTCTTAGACTTGCTTGGTTTAGACTTCTCCAGGGTTTAATGTCTTATTAAAATTACTTTAAGGTAGGAAAGGCATACCTGAAAACTTTATGAAGCTCAGATTTAATCTCTCTATCTATTTCAAAAGGACAGTGATTACTTTTTATATCCATACATTTGGAGGTGCCATATGTGTTAAACTAGTTTATCCTAGTTCTGCAAACAGAACACATCATCCAGTCCTGTAACTTTGAGAACCTGTCACAATTCTTAGAGGGTTTGAAAAAATTAATTTAGTTTTATGTTATAATCTTTGAATTTATAGATCTCAGGAAAAGGGTCATGTGGATCTTCAAGTTGGAGAGCAGCTAAGGAGTCTTCAAGGAAAAACACCAGCAAATTGGACGAGGAAGGGCTTGAAATTGCTGTCTGTCGCCATGGAGTCCTCCTTGGAGCACTAAACATGTATCGAGGGGAGATTTTTGCCTACCCTCTTTTCCTCCAAAAGACTTTAGCTGAAAATGCCCCTGGAAACATCACATCCCTTTGCTCTGATGTGGCATGCAAATATTTCCCATATTTGTCCAAGGTGGCTCAGCAATGCCCTGAGATGAGGAAGCTCCTGTCCATGCGTCCTTTCCTGTCTGTAATGCATGCAAAGGCTCACACTGGGAAATGCGAGGTACATTGCAACTTTAATGACTAAGTTAGTAGTCATTTGAGTCATTGAGTAATTCAGAAATAACATTTATTGTACACAATTCTTACTAGATCAAATGGGAAGGCGCTTTTCAGGAAGGTGCAGGCTCAACAATTGGAGAAGAGGTTGAGCAAGTGAACAGTTTCTTGTCCAGGGCAGCAATCACGACCAAGTACATGTCCAAAGCAGGTGTGTGTGTGTGTGTGTGTGTGTGTGTGTGTGTGTGTGTGTGTGTGTGTGTGTGTGTGTGTGCGTGTGCGTGTGTGTGTGTGTGAGAGAGAGAGAGAGAGAGAGAGAGAGAGAGAATGGCTCTTAAAAGTGCCTTTGTTTGTGTTTTTTTTAAAGGTATCTTTGAAATAATGATCTGTAACAAAGACAAAAAAAAAAACATTAAAATGACTTTTAGAATAGTGAAACTAGTTCGATTGTAATCAAAACAATGAGGGAATAAAGATCCACGTAACATCATGAATCTAATCGTCCGACTAACAAATCGCTCAATAAGCATTCTTGTTTAAAGTTAAAGTACACTTTTTATCCCCGATTTGGAATTTTTTGGGGTCAAAGTGTAGCGCGTAGGCATAGGCATTGCCATTTTTTTTTTAAATGCTAAAAATTTAAACATGACTTGACACCCTTTCAGAAACTCCAGCAATCAGACACAAACGCTCGACCAAACCTGATTAAACGCGCGCAATCAGCTAAAGTTACACCTAACATGCGACAAATCTGCGACAACATTTACATAATTGCAAAAGCATAACAGACACAAATTAATTTTCATGATGCAACCGACACTAATGTCAAGAAATATTTAGGTAATGAGCAACTTTATTTGGTGCTTCGAAGAAATTAACAATACAAATTACACAGCCAGAGATAGAACATACCGACCTGTTGAATGTGAACGTCGCAATGACTGCAAAAAGGCGCAATTCTGAGGTGTAGCCTGCAGAGGATATGACGTCTCGCCGCAATGGCAACATCATCTTCCTAATATTATTATTACTAATTATAATTATTATTATTTTTTTTTTTATCTCTGCAATTGTCGGCTATGTGTTGTTTGGATATGGAATATCTGACCAAGATGACAAAATTATTAGGAGTTTCGTTTTGGTCCGCCTATTCAGATGATTTTTTTTTTTTTTTTTTTACAAAATGAGACATAATATCGGCTTAAAAATAACATTTAATTGTGTAACCCAAAGTGGTGTAAACTAGGCCTACTTGTAGTATTTATTATGTGGTAGATAGGCTCACATTTAGGATTATTTAACAAAAATATTTTTTTCTGATTTTCTGGCTTTCTGAAACATAAGTCCTAAAATCATTCAACAATTAATAGCCTGTCCCTGGCCCATTCCGTTCCCTCATGGAAAAAAGTCCATCATTGTCTATTATAACCTCATCACATTGACCATGCTTTGCTCTCGAACTATCTGCCCACACAGTTTCTAAACATACAACATGAATACAAGTTTGGTTAATTGTGAGGGGTCTCAAAGTGAAAAATGTGCATCCAATCATGTTTGTTTTACTTTATGATGATATGTGTAAGTGAGATTTGCTTTAACAATTAAAATTGTCTTTACATAAGTCCAACAAGTCATGAAACACATGTGGAAGATAAGATATAGGCCTACTTTATCCTATAATTCAAAAAAGGTTAGAGAAATTTGTCTTTGACAGGGATCCACTCACATTTATAAAACATGTGGCATAATTCAATCCATGGGGGTGTTGAGGTAGCAGCTGACTGAGCAGTGTTCAGGATGGCTATTGCAGAGGGGATGAATTATTTTAGACATTTTTTTGCGGTCCATTTAGCTATGTCATATCGTCGACTTGACGGTGGAAGGAATGAAGGAGGGAGTGAGGAGTCCTCTGTGAGGTTGGCTTTCCTAATCAGTGTACATTTCTGATAGAGGGAGTTTGGAGGAGTCAATTAATATAGCAATCTGATTTACTATGCGGGAGAATCTTGTTTTGTGTTTAAAGAGTTGGTTGTGTAAGGGGGAAATAATGAAGGTGATAACTGATGAGGGAGTGGTAAACCAAAGCTCGTCCTTTCTGACCTGAAAACTTCGGAGTTTCCTGAGCAGGTGAAGTCATTGCGCCACGTGTTTGTATTGCGTCTGTGTGTGATAAGGACAGGGACCTGCACATGTTTCACTGGCTGACCTTTGATACTGAGTGGATGGAACAGGGGTGATGTCTTGTCTCTGCATCCACAGCATACCTCTTTGTAATGTTGAGCCCCAAGGAGAGCTTAACAAATGTTCAGATCAAAATGGCCATATAGGTGCCATATCACATCTTTGCATTAGCCTATTACTATAACCACGAGAACCAACATGGAAGACTGCTTGACACACATAAATACACACACACAAACACTCTCACTCAGTTCACTCTAGATTATCAACTCCAGGACTGTTTTTGCGCTACCTCAGGAGGAGGTGTCAACAATGGTAGATTGGGAGTGGGGAGGGCAATTATTTTTTGAGCACACTTTTATTAGCCTGATGTCATAGGCTACTCAAAATTGCACAGTTGCATTTTTAGCTCTGAACCATTTAGTATTTTTTTCTGTTCTGAACCGCCCTGGTTCACGCATAGTTCCTGCTCAACGAAGCAATAGTTCCTGCTCAACGACCACAACTTCCCGACCTCAAATGTTGTGGGTGAGCCTAAGTTTGGCTGGCTCCCAGGCTACTCTTTTATTGGAATTGATTAAAATTCGTGCATCTTTTTAAATTCATTGCAGTCATCTGGTCTTCTTTGGGAGGCCAGTGAGCACAGTATCCCTAGTCAAGCTTGGAGAATAAGAACATGGATAAGCTTCGAGCTTCACAACAGGCAGTAGCCTATAACTCATCTTATGTGTCTCGATCAGATGTCACCTTTACACAATGGCTGAGACAGCCTAATTTGTGATGCAACAGTGTCATAAAAGAGGGGTAAGCATGAACTCTTTTGTCAGCAGTGGAAATTTATTTAAGATTGCAAGGAAAACTCGGCTTCCCCTATAATGTAAAAAAAAAAATATATAAATAAATAAAGGTCAAACATTGTATTGACTAAAAATGCGTTAGAAAACGTTATCCTCAAAGACAAGTTAATTTGGAATCAACAAAATTCAGCAGGTCGCGACGCGATTTCCTTCTCATACATTCCCGTAGAGTGTGCATCCCTGTTGAATCCCAGCTTACGTTGACTTGACTTCAATGGGGCTGCATTGTACAGTTTTTTTTTTTCAGCGCTTCGAAACTAGACGGTCATGTTCCTCCTACGCCACGGACATGTAGCCTACCATTGGGGGTAAATGAGGAGTGGGCTGGCCCGGACTCCGGGCTTCTGCATGCAGATTGGAGGGTCTGTGCCGCATCTCCTTTTGATTGACAGCGATTTCATCCCATAAAAAGTCGCTGATACTGAAGCTCTGTCCCATCGCGGATTTTTCAAGTTATAGTCGAAAAACAAACTGCTGCTACCTATTTTTTGGTATTTGCTTGTCGAAATTGTTGCTTATACTTAATTAAAACAATGCTTGTTACTTATACTTAATCAAAACAATAAATATTAAAATGATCAATTATTATTATTAATAGTATACTTTATTATATTATACCTTTATTATTATTACATTTATACAATTTAACTCTGCTGGTCATTGAGAGGACACTGGTCAAGTCACTGGAAAAGACACCTAGTTGGTAAGACAGCTGTCACTGACCATTTTCATGAAAAGGAATATTGGGTAGAATTTACATATAAATGGACAATTTTTTATTATATAGGCCACCACTGGTGTGCCACCATCTCTCCCCAGCACACAAATCAGCTTACAGTAAACAGCATCATGCTAGGATAGGTGCAAGGTTAAAAATTGTGATGTCATTTCAGTATTAGCATTTTTTTACTAAGAAATTAAGATTACAAAAGAAAAATACTCAGCATAACATTTTGTTGATTTTATTTTATTAGAGAGAAATAGCAAGAGAAAGAATGAGTGAGTGAGTGAGTCAGTGAGTGAGTGAGTGAGTGAGTGAGTGAGTGAGTGAGTGTGTGTGTGTGAGTGTGTCAGGCAGCCTCCCAGGTTGGAGGCCAGGTTTTCCCACTAGGAAAAAAAGGGTAAGAGATGATTAGTAAAAAAGTCAATAATGAATAATCACTTGATAATCAAAGCTGTAATGTTTACATTGTAAACTTTTTTCCAGTTTGATTTGCAATTGTAGTGGAGGGACATTTAGATCAACCAATGTCATAATAACACCAATTAAAAACACTATGGTGAATTTGTATATGAAATGGCACCAATGGTGACAAAATTTGGTGTATATTGAAAAACAGAAAATGGTGTTTAGTTAGAAAGGGGACAGCTGGTCAAGCATATTTCATAAAAAAAAAAATGCACAATGTAACAACTAATCAAAGATCTGAATAATCCACAGTATGGAAATATAAAAACTAGCACCTGACACTCTGAATTTACAAAATGTTACAGCATCAACCAGTGTTGTAGTACTCGAGAGTCGGACTCGGTCTCGAGACCATATTTTAATGGTCTTGGTCTTGTCATGGACTCGTGTGCATTTGGACTCGGAATTGACTCGTACTCGAACATTTTTTTTTTTAGGACTCAGACTTATTCCCTAATCCATTAGAGTTCAATTAAAAATATTTTTCATGATTATTAATGTATGTTAATAAAATATTTCTTTAAATTGATTGACACGCCCAGTGATTGGTGATTTTCTAGTGCGCAACTGCGCATGACAAATTGTAATAAAATTACTTTTAACACCACCTACTATGTGGCCTTTTTACCCTAAACTGATCATATTTTTAAACTCAGTAAAATCAAAGTAAAATCAGTAAAAAAAAATAAAAATAAAAAAAAAGATTTCTCTAAGTAAATAAAATTACATTAGGTAGTCAACCCTCACTGGTCTCGGTCTCGACTCGGACTCGACTCTCTATGGACTCGGTCTCGACTCGGACTCGAGTGAGGTGGTCTCGACTACAACACTGGCATCAACATTTCAAATAACCATCTTTACTACTTCAGAATGCCAATAATGACAGAATGACAATTAAAAGTTGTCATAAATGAACAAAAACAATATTAAAATAGCATAAATTAGATCAAACAGATATGCAAGCATGGATTATGGTGTGCATAACGTTACAAAAAAGAACTACATTTCTGCATTAACAATAGTTAATAACTTAAAATCACTCCAGACAACACTCTTCCACCAATTTCCAAACACATACTGCACATCCAATAAGGAAGCACATATAAAGGTGTGTTACAATATATAGACTGAGTTGTGCTCTACAGTATCTCACAGAAGTGAGTACAACCCGCAGTTTAGTCAATATTTTAATTTCTCTTCTCATGGGACAACCCTGAATAAATTACACTTTGCTACAATGTAAAGTAGTCAGTGTACAGCTTGTATAACTTGTATAACTCAAAATGACAATACAAAGCCATTTAAGTCTGAACGGCTGGCAACAAAAGTGAGTATACCCCGAAGTGTCCAAAGAAAAGATAAATTAAAAAATGTACAAAAATGTGACGGGTGCACTCACTTCTATGAGATAATGTATGTGTGTACATGTAGCCTAGTCTACAGTATGTGATTGTTGTAAGTTATGTGTATGTCTGCTGGAAAACCGTAATTTTGTGGATAATTGTATCTAGTGTGAAAGACAACCAACACACCACAGTTTGCAGGGGAGCCAATCAATCAGTTTCTCCGTCTTCCCCTGGGAAGGCAAACAAAGACATATAAAATTGGTACCTTGCTTAAGATAAACATTGCTCTCAACTTTACATATCATTTAGTTACACTTAAAGGTAGTATTAGCCATTCAGAGCGTTTTGTAAACGTATGACACTTTTTGTAATGTTCAGCTATTCTCCTCATGGTCCACTCACTTCCCATTCCCATTATGAGCTGTAAAACATTCCAGTCATTTTGTGCAGCTCAGTCACCATAAATTAGAGCATAAGAGGGGTGGTGATGGCGCAGTGGATATGACACATGCCTTTGGTGTGAGAGACCCGGGTTCAAATCCACTGTGAGACACCTATGTCCCTGAGCAAGACACTTAACCCCTAGTTGCTCCAGAGGCGTGCGACCTCTGACATATATAGCAATTGTAAGTCACTTTGGATAAAAGCGTCAGCTAAATGAATAAATGTAAATGTAAAATGTAAATGACTGCAGGAAAACATACTGGGCTTGGTACAATCTCTAACAATAACAAAACATGGCTTGATTTTGTTCACCCTGAGAATACTGAATGTGGGAGTGAGTTATCTCTGGTGTCTTGTCGAGTGTTACAAGATAAATTTTTAACATAAACACCAACATAAACAAATACAATATCTGGTAGGATCACTGGTACAAATTTTAAATTACTGCCATTAGCCAATTAGTGACATTATCAATTAAAACAAGTGATCAATCAGTATTGGTAAATCACCCATTGTTTTCTTTGCAATTGTATTATGTATGGGAATACCTTTCTCTTTCTTGTTTTAATTACGCATTTATATGCGTGCACCTCTTGGATGTTGTGGGGACAATCCATTTCTTTTTTAGAAACTGTTTAGAATCATAAGCAAATTGAGAAATGTTAATCCAAATGTTAACATAAAAAAAGAAAACAAAAGTACATCATATAACTTATTGTAAAACAGTCCACAGATTAGAAGTATTTGTTGTGACCTGTAACTCAGTAAAGAGGGAGGGGTATATTTGACATAACACATATTGATATAATGCGTACAATTCACATGTAAATGAAGTACATCAATAATGTTAATGTCATAACGGAGACCTGCATAGCAAATTAAATAGCAAACGTAATGGGAATAAAGTTAAATATGGCAGAATATCAGCTTTGAGTTTATTAGGTACACCTTTTGTCCTTTGACGTCTTTTCGTTGGTTTGTCATCCCCCCCCCCCTGTTGGTGTCGGTGGCAGGGCTGGTTGGCAGAGCTTCAACTAAAGAGTAGACACAGAATATACAATATGCAAGAAGGTCAGATATAGACTTGTGGCTGCTCAAGCTCATTCTACAAAAACGTAAAAGAAGGCACGAAAAGTTGAAGAGCAATTAACTAGGCTAAGCACAACAAATTTTGGTGCGATCATCGCCACTTGGTGGGACTTTGGGTTACCTGTCTCAATCTGTCCCCCCTCATTGGTGTCGGTGGCAGGGCTGGTTGGCAGAAGAGCTTCAACTAAAGAGTAGACACAGAATACAATATGCAAGAAGGTCAGATATAGACTTGTGGCTGCTCAAGCTCATTCTACAAAAACGTAAAAGAAGGCACGAAAAGTTGAAGAGGAATTAACTAGGCTAAGCACAACAAATTTTGGTGCGATCATCGCCACTTGGTGGGACTTTGGGTTACCTGTCTCAATCTGTCCCCCCTCATTGGTGTCGGTGGCAGGGCTGGTTGGCAGAAGAGCTTCAACTAAAGAGTAGACACAGAATACAATATGCAAGAAGGTCAGATATAGACGTGTGGCTGCTCAAGCTCATTCTACAAAAACGTAAAAGAAGGCAAGAAAAGTTGAAGAGCAAATAACTAGGCTAAGCACAACAAATTTTGGTGCGATCATCGCCACTTGGTGGGACTTTGGGTTACCTGTCTCAATCTGTCCCCCCTCATTGGTGTCGGTGGCAGGGCTGGTTGGCAGAAGAGCTTCAACTAAAGAGTAGACACAGAATACAATATGCAAGAAGGTCAGATATAGACTTGTGGCTGCTCAAGCTCATTCTACAAAAACGTAAAAGAAGGCACGAAAAGTTGAAGAGCAATTAACTAGGCTAAGCACAACAAATTTTGGTGCGATCATCGCCACTTGGTGGGACTTTGGGTTACCTGTCTCAATCTGTCCCCCCTCATTGGTGTCGGTGGCAGGGCTGGTTGGCAGAAGAGCTTCAACTAAAGAGTAGACACAGAATATACAATATGCAAGAAGGTCAGATATAGACGTGTGGCTGATCAAGCTCATTCTACAAAAACGTAAAAGAAGGCACGAAAAGTTAAAGAGCAAATAACTAGGCTAAGCACAACAAACTGATCACTTTCGATCATTGCAACTTGGTGGGACTTTGGGTTACCTTGCCGGTGCCGAGCACTCTGTTGTCAGATGTAGCATTGGCCTATGCCTTATCAATGGGGACCCTTTCCTAGATCTTTCTGTTCCGGCACCTGTTGTTCTAGTTATTTATGACTATCTTTCTGTATAACACTGGTCGGACCTTTTGGTTCGTTGAGAAGATGATTTGACTGCCGAGGAGAGCTTCTCTAGAGCCATCAACCACCATTATTATAGACTATTCTACTTAAGTCTGTATCCTGCTGTACTACAACTCTGTAATAAACCTATTACAGAGCCTCTGAGCCAACCTGTCAAGCTGCCTTAATTTCCACTTCAACGCTTCTAAGACTAAAATAAACACAACACAGAGTCAGACTCAGTGCCAATCACCAAAATTTTAATGGTGGCTGTCATAAAAAACTTTCCAGATGTATTCAAACATGCATTAAATATTGAAGAACATTAACAATATCAATGAATATGTAATATGGTGCATATATTTAACAAAATTCTCCTCTCTAGAGTACATTTTTTTCTAGCTGACTAACGAGTTTATGGTCGCTGGATATGTTTTTTCGGAGGTAAATGTGACGTTACATGAGATTGTTTAAATGACATCTTTCCACGGTTGAAACACTGATTGAGTGATTCCATGTGACATGACACAGACTTTAATAAGTTGTACTCTATCTTTTAACACACTTTCAGAAGCTCATTCATGTTTATTTTGCGCTGTAACCGTTATTATTAAGGCGGAAGAGAAGGTTACGTGTGGTCCACTCTGCTGCTTCTCTTGAGCTGCGCCAGAGCGATCTCACGCCACAGCGGCAAAATGGTAATTGTGTTTTTGAATTTCGTAAGAAAATGAACGGAATTTAAAATCTGAGACTTTGTTTCATATAAATAATAACAAAGCACAAAGATTATTGCCATTTATTGTATGGGATGCGCAAAACAATGCCTTGTCACCATGCCCTGAAAAGGCTCCATGCCGCTATGCGTGGGCTTTTTAAATTTCATTTGTCATTTGTTCAATAAAGACATTTTAATTAAGGAGTGCCTCGGTCATCAGAGATTTCTTTCTCTACTGTCTCCTAGATGCGCAAAACAATGTTCCATTCATTCATCAACTGAAAACCGGATGACAAATCGATTCTTGGGATTTTAGAAACAATATTTTTTCTTAAATATGAGAATCGATTAAAATTGATAAATCTATAATTTTTACCCAGGCCTAAATAACATACTACAATAATGATAATAATATGCTGGTAAAGAACACTGTCATAAAAATATGAAAGATAACGATAAAGCTATACTAAGCACACCTTGTTGAGGTGGAGGGTCTGGAATAGTCTCCAAATTTAAGACAACAACAGTCTCCTGTTCTGGATCAAGTTGCAGACTTTCAGTTGAAGGGTCTGCCGGCACTGTATTTCCTGAAAGAATACAAGGAACACAAAGAATATACAAAATGTAATTAGGTCAAAATGTGAAAGGTGAATTTGTTATTTGATGTCATTTAGTTTTTAAAATGTCCTGAATTTTTCTGAATTTGGATTGTTTAAAGATGTTATAATGTATAGCAGCCCATTCTCACCCCCAAGGCGTCACCTAACTGACGCCCTAGGATCGCGTGTACCCTACCCCCACCCCACACCTAAACCTAACCGCGTCTTCTAACAGACGCTTTCCTTTAGCGTCAGTTAGATGACGCCGTAGGATCGCGTCATGTAAGTGACGCTAAAAGGCGCCTAAAACGTCAAATATTGAAGCATGGTCAAAGGTGACGCCTTGGGGTGAGAATGCGTTGTGTATAGAAAATGTGGAATGACCTTTAACTATCATGCTGTAGATAGTATTCATGTTGTCAACGCATATTTTCTCCCCTGCACTCAATTTGAGCCCCTCCGGCAGCAGCGTCTTGACTATTTGGTTCGGGTACTCAAGAAAAAGCATGGGCCTCCAGCCCACTGCATTCAGCTTCTCAATCTGAAAGAAAAAAAAACATACTCTATAAACAATAATAAGGGCTTTATGTCTACGATAAAACTGTGCTAGTGTTATGTGTAACAGACACCAGCTCCACAACAGTATGTTTCAGATGCACACTTTTTAACTTATGGAAGAGCTGATGTATACATAAGCTGATATATATATATATATATATATATATATATAGAACAGATGATACATTGAGGATGTGGGGAAGGTGTGAGTATATGTGGGTGGGTTTGGTGTGCCTGTCTCCATCATGTGCATGATGCACTCTTATCTGGCTTACAGTTCTACAGATGATTGCATGATTGAATTGAAACTATAAGCCTCCAAGAGCATCTTCATGTAAAAATCCCTACTAAGAGATTGGTTAAAAGTTTTTGGTCTACCACACATCGCACTGACTTACACACAACTCACATCATATTCTGTGCAATGAGAGAATCTCACTCAGTAATGTAGTCGGATGGTAGCAGCATGTCTTGGTTGAGGGCCCAGTCAGTGCTTCCCTACAGCTGAATATGCGTGGTCAAACTGGAGCCGCTCCCGCCACACCAAACTGATTGACACAGCCCTCAACAATACCTGCCGCATTATCACGGTATGCACAGAGACAACGCCAGGCCCGTGCCTCTACACCTAGCTGGCATTGCTCCCTCCCATCCCCGCTCCCCACATAAGATGATCCATCGTCGCCCAAGACAGCACAGGAGAACACACGAGTTTGACACCTTGCACCCCCTTCATGGACAGACAGCACCTCCACCACGACTGAAATCCAGATCCAGTTTCCTGCAGACAGTCCCACCTCCAGACAACCAAAGAAACAGCATGGACAACATCTGTAAAGATGAATGGAACCAGCTACATACACAAGCCCAGGACTGGATGGAGAGAGGAATCACCCCTACTGAATGTCCCACCAGGGTGGCTAACCTGGAAGACCCTCAACAGACTACGAGTGGAACAGCAGGAAAGCACGGGACCACCAGACAGAAGACACATGCAGCTGTAAAGCTGTACAGACAATGACCCCACCCCAGCACCGAGCTGAAATGACCCCATCAGCTGTGACCAGATAGTGACAGAATGACATCTAAGGTTGCAACAGACTCGAAGAAGAAGAAGAAGAACACGCAAGTGAACGCTATGTACTTACATAATTGGGCATGAACCACTCAGTAGGGAAGAGTAAACTGTGGATGATATGGAGAGCTGACGTGTGTTACAGAACTGCGGGCTATCACCTACTGTAGGTGAACCTGGCTGTTTCTTGCCTGTTTCTTTACACTTTTCCAATTATAATAGTTTAAAGTTACGATCCTGAAACTGATCAATCAATTGCCTTTATTAAGTTTCATACAATGTGCAACTGAAAATATCTGCTAACCTAACGTGTGAATCAACTCATGGTCTATGTGAGTACATCTATAGCATAAGTAGAATAGAAGAATAGTCGGTTGTAATGTAACACACCACCTGTGTCACCACCTGGACCAAGGTAATTTTGAAGCCACTAGTACTATGGTAACAGAACAAGTTACTTACCAAAATAACGGCATCATCCAATAAATGAGACGTTAATTGATTTTTCTTTGTCTTACACACCCAAGACTCCTTCTCCATCTTGAATTTGTCCATTTTTTTTTCAGCCTTATATGTTGCGGCTGTGCTGCCTTGCACAAGGGGCAGACCTTGCATCCATTAAAAATTTTTTGTAGGCATGCAGGGCACGACTTCTTCAGCCCTCCACCAGGCATTGTTATTCTGTAAACCATACAAAAGAAAAGGATGATTGGAATAACCATTGTATAAAAATATAAATTCCTTAACTGCAAGAGTTGTGAAGGTTTCCATAAAACACTTTGTCTTTCCAATACAATTATCTTACAATTATCATGTAATAGACAAAATTTCAGCTATGTCGCGACTGATATGTGTAACCAATCCAGGGTATCTAGCATAACACTATGTGACCTGCTGTTCCTACAGCAAAAATACAAATCATACATCATTATAATGAAACAAAATACAAGACTATCTTTAAATAACCTAAACTTGTGCTGTGTAGAAAATAAAAATCTTGGGATACTTACTGTATGAAATATGAGTTATGGTATGAGTAAGTATGAGTGAGTGAATGTGTGTGTGTGTGAGAGAGAGAGTGTGTGTGTGTGAGAGAGAGAGAGAGAGAGAGAGAGAGAGAGAGAGACAAGAAAGAGACAGAAATAGATAAATATAAAAAATGTGAAAGAATGGCTCTTAAAAGTGCCTTTTTTTTGGTAAAGCTGTCTTGTATCTGTAACAGACAGAAATTATTATTAGAATGACCATTAGAACAAACATTTCTACATGCATATTTCATACATGAAATTCGCATTTCATTTCTACATGAAATTCATTCACGACATGACTTTAACTTTCTTGTGAACCGACAAATTGCTGATTGGCAATACTGTGGTTGAGAATGCCATCTGGCCACATCGACATGCATAAGTCTTTGATGCAATCAACCTGTTTTTGGGCTGTTTTTTTTTTTTACCCTTTTGGGTTTTTTTTCTCTTTATCTTTTACATGTTCTATTGCTTAAGTCAAAATCAAAATATTGTGAGCCCCTTGGAATTATTTGGTTTTCTGTTTGTGTTGCTCTTGAAATTACATATATTAACTAAATCACTAGCAGCCTATTGGCAAATAAAATTATGCTGACAAAGATTTTAAGTAATAAACGTCTGTCTGTGAGTATGGTGTCCCTCGCATATAACTGACCACTCATCGCAATGACCCAAGATTTTAGCTGTGGCTTGCGCAGGGCACGGTGATGTCCTCGATTTTACAAGCTACAAATACCAGTACTAGGCCTACAGTAAAACATAGAGCAACGCGTTGCAATGCATTTCAACACATAGCCTATATTTAAAATACATATAGGCCTATACTGTATAAAAAAAAAAAAAATAAGTAAAAAGCTTAAGATATTCTACATGACTAACGTTAGCTAGCAAGAAACGTTGCATACACTGGGTACGTAGTTAATGCAATTTGAACTCCTAGCAATTATGGAGAAATTAACACCGAACTTAACAGGATTAACGTTACAGGGCCCTGTGCAACCGACACTGGTGTTAAAAAAAAAAAAAAAAAAAAAAAAAAAGATAGGTAGGCTTTTGATAGCAATTAACTTAGTCTTACATTTGCTTCGAATGAATCAACAATTCACATAACACAAGCTTTAGCGTTACTTACCGATCTGCTGACTGTGAACGTCGACCGCAAAATAGGAAAAAGGGCGCAATTCTGGGATGTAGCCTGCATGAGGAAGTAGACCTATGACGCGTCGCAGCAATGACATAATTTTCTGAATATTAATTAATAAAAATAATACAAAGAATCCTAATAAGCCTGCATTTTATGTTAAAAGGAGTAGCCTAGGCCTATAATAATATCAGTTTAACAATATTTAATATTGTTACACAATAAAACTTTTAAAAATAAAAATCCATGGTTTTGGACATTTTAATTCCAAACTTAATAGCAATGGAACACATTAATTAACACAGTCGACCTGAAGTTTTCAAATTTCTAAATGAGCAAACAAAAGCAACGCATAGAACGAGACCAAGTCCGTGAGTCCACCACAGATCCATTCCAGATCCGTGGTAGATAATGATAAGGCATTTTTCCTGCGATTTGGAGAACGTGATCAAATTGAATTTTAGGGCAAATGTCTAGTTAATTAGGCTGCATTACCATTAGGATAACAGAGTTGACCTGATGAATTAATTTAAATGAGCAAGTTCATTAAAACATTCAGTGAGTGGGAACTTTGGTTAGGCTAAATACAGAATCAAACTGATTTTTTATAATGGCAGAACAACATAGGCCGCCAGGTTAACATGGCATATATCTAAGTGAAAAGGCTATTTCAAATGCTGCATTTCTAAATGAGAAAGCACGTCCGTTGGGTGAGATCTGTACTCCGTCACGGGTATCCGTGTGTGGACCACGGAAGATGAGTCATTGACTTGCGCTGGAGTTATCCGTGGTATCAGCACAGACTCACTCCGTGCCGCTATCACAGATTTTAGTTCTGACCATAGCCAAGCGAGCAATAGGTGTAAACGCCATCAAACTGGATTTTATGAGGACGAGACAAAACTTCAAGTTATTACATGCCATTATTGTAATAGTCGACATAAAGCTTGAGTTTCTAAACAAGCCAGCCACATTACAACGTCCATGAGGTCAGGTTGTTGAGGTCCGTGGTGCCATCACGGGACATCGGTTAGGCTAAATGAACTGAATATGGCAAGACAGTGCAACAATAACAATGTCATTATGGTTTTTGATGTTGGAAAATAAACTAACACTTCAAATGTTGCGTCTCCAAATGAGAAAGCACGTCCTTTGGGTGAGATCTGTACTCTTTCATTGAAACGGGTATCCGTGTGTGGACCACGGAAGAGTGTCATTGACTTGCGCTGGAGTTATCCGTGGTGTCAGCACAGACTCACTCCGTGCCGCTATCACAGATTTTAGTTCTGACTGAGAGAAATAGGTGTAAACGCCATCAAACTGGATTTTATGAGGACGAGACAAAACTTCAAGTTATTACATGCCATTATTGTAATAGTCGACATAAAGCTTGAGTTTCTAAAGAAGCCAGCCACATTATAACGTCCATGAGGTCAGGTTGTTGAGGTCCGTGGTGCCATCACGGGACATCGGTTAGGCTAAATGAACTGAATATGGCAAGACAGTGCAACAATAACAATGTCATTATGGTTTTTGATGTTGGAAAATAAACTAATACTTCAAATGTTGCGTCTCCAAATGAGAAAGCACGTCCGTTGGGTGAGATCTGTTCTCTTTCATTGAAACGGGTATCCGTGTGTGGACCACGGAAGATGAGTGTGACTTGCGCTGGAGTTATCCGTGGTATCAGCACAGACTCACTCCGTGCCGCTATCACAGATTTTAGTTCTGACCGTAGCCAAGCGAGAAATAGGTGTAAACGCCATCAAAATGGATTTTATGAGGAAGAGACAAAACTTCAAGTTAATTACATGCCATTATTGTAATAGATTCGACATAAAGCTTGAGTTTCTAAACAAGCCAGCCACATCACGTCGACGAGGTCAGGTTGTTGAGGTCCGTGGTGCCATCACGGGACATCGGTTAGGCTAAATGAACTGAATATGGCAAGACAGTGCAACAATAACAATGTCATTATGGTTTTTGATGTTGGAAAATAAACTAATACTTCAAATGTTGCGTCTCCAAATGAGAAAGCACGTCCGTTGGGTGAGATCTGTTCTCTTTCATTGAAACGGGTATCCGTGTGTGGACCACGGAAGATGAGTGTGACTTGCGCTGGAGTTATCCGTGGTATCAGCACAGACTCACTCCGTGCCGCTATCACAGATTTTAGTTCTGACCGTAGCCAAGCGAGAAATAGGTGTAAACGCCATCAAAATGGATTTTATGAGGAAGAGACAAAACGTCAAGTTAATTACATGCCATTATTGTAATAGAGTAGACATAAGCTTAGTTTCTAAACAAGCCACATTACAACGTCCATGAGGTCGGTTGAGGTCCGTGGTGCCATCACGGGACATCGGTTAACTGAAACAGACTGAATTTGTATGACGGCAGGACAGAGCAATAGCTGTAATAAAGAGGTTAACGTCATTATGGCTTTTATTGTTGGAAAGAAACTATAACTCTTCAAATGTTGCGTTTCCAAATGAGAAAGCACGTCCGTTGGGTGAGATCTGTACTCCGTCATTCAAACGGGTATCCGTGTGTGGACCACGGAAATGAGTGTCATTGACTTGCGTTGGAGTTATATCCGTGGCCGCATCACGGAATTCGCGGCGATTCCGTGATGTTTCCACGGATTTTTGAGTTAAGGGCCCGTGGACATTTCACGGAATCCTGTGAGA